TGATGTACGGCCGCGGAAATCGTATCTGTCGATATCTGGGTAACAGAAAGACGAGCGCGACGTTACGCATCCGTTTTCCGTCTCCGTACTGTTTTGGTTGCAAACCAGTAGAAAGAATTCCCCAATGCCGCTTCACAGCGCAGAAATTCTCAGCTGTTTAAAGTAAATACAGCCTCTGGCGTCAGTTCGGAGCTATTGTCATCTCTTATTCTTACTCTTTAAGTGAGACAAGCTGTAAAGGTGGCTGTAGCGTGGGGGTTTTTTTCCCCTCCCAAATCGAATAGCTGTGCACAGCGTGCTGGAATTTGCAGGGTATTTTTCCGAAGCGCCTGTTTCATAACGTAAACACGCTCCCCCCAGCCCCGAGAAGTCATTTTTAGCACAATCTTGCACGTTCTGTCTGCAACGAGGAGAGTAATTCGGCGGGGAAGCGCGAGCTGTAGCTGGGCGAGAGCTGGGGAAAGGTGCTGAAAGCGTTCACACGTGTGCACGCTTGCTAAAATATGTACCGAGAAAGAGGGGAACCGGGTCCCTACGCCTACAGAAGGGACGCAGAAGGCGTTGTACCTCGCCAAGGAGCAGCTCCTTCCTTGGCAAGGCGCTTCGCTAATGGCAGGCGATACCTGTATTTTCACGCGTCCGCAATACCGAGCTTTTGGAATAGTTTTTGTGAATGTTAATTCCACCCACCCACGTTTTTGGTTTTTTGGGGGTTTTTTTCAGGTTTTGGTTCCCCCCTCGCCCCCAAAATGGGAACCAATGCTTTTAGCGTCATCAGGTGATAGCAAAACTGGTAGCGACACAATCGGTAGTAAATAGGGAGTTTCACAGGGCAAAGCTTAATATCAGCGTGTCGAGGATGACAGCAGGACAAACCCGAAAATTAGATTTTTCTAGAATTCTGTGTGTTTGCCTCCGTTCCTTTTTCTGAAGAGCTTTTCGCCATGGGAAGTAGAGTTGCTTTTTGGCCACGCTGGCTGTGGAGAAGATGCTGAAGAGGGAAGAAGAGCTCCTTGAGCGCAGGAAAATCTCAGCGAGGCTTGACTCAGGGTCACAAAACTGGCAATTAGATCTTATTAGAAGAGAAAGTTGCCCTTTCACAAAGTTAGTTGTAAGTCGTGGTGGAAAACAAAATGTTACTCTGAGGGTTGGAATCAAATTAAAAGAAGAATGGTTCGGGGGTGCCCGCCTGCGGCTCCAGAGCCTGTATCCCGGGAAGGTTTCCATCAGGGATTGTGCACGGGTGCAAGCAGCAGCCGGCTGCCTTTTGTCCCATTTTCCCAGCGAGCTTTTTTATGCGAGCGGATGACAGCATCCCTCCCTCCTTATACTTCAGGTAGGCGTCGAGGAATACAGGACTGACTTTTAGTGCCTTTTTTTTTAAGCGTCACTATCCGGACTGAATCCTTTTGATCCGCAGGGCAGGAGCGCTTCACCCGCGGCAGCATTCGCAGGTGACGAAAGCCGCGTCACGTCCATCCGTTTTATAGGCAGCCTGATGGAGAGAGCGTAGGAACGGCTGGGTGGGGAGAAGTAAAGACAGGGGGAGACAAACCTGCTGGAGCAGGGGGTTGTGAAACCCGCTCAATGTCTATCTCAGCTTTGGCTGGGCGTTTAACCACCGCGTTCCCGGTAGATGGCTGAAATTGATAGATGAGTTTTGACATTCAAATTACATTAATTCCGTGGATCGATTGCCGTGTCAGTTTTTTTCCTTGAGCGCGTGAACAAATAGTTTGCGTATCCGCGTGGGTTGCTTCATTTGACTCGATTTATTAAGAGGGATTTTGTTTATGGGCTTGCGTAGTTCAGGTATCGTGAAAATTACTCTTCCCGGCAAGCGTTTGTGTCAGTATCCTGTGGACTGAATCCGCGGTGCTGCTGCTCATCGCAGAGTACCCGTGGCTCGTCTTTTGTTAGAAATGGAGGAATCGCGCTCACGAGCACGTATTTGTCATCTTTCCCTCTTTTCTCCCGACGCTTCGCTCTATCCCGGTGTGCCGCAAGTGGAGAAGGAATTGATTTTCAATGCAACCGCTGCATCTGAGCCAAGGTCCCAGGGGTGGGGCCAGCTAAGAGGAACTTGTTGGAAACGCAATTTACCCATCCGTGTCTGTCTCGGCAGTCTTAAAAGCAGAGACCGCGGTGGTCCAAGGCAGAAAGACAAGTACGTGCACAACAAGAAACCGTTGTCCAATATGAGGGCAGTGCGCCGGGGCTTTTAGAGCCTGTCCACAAGTAACAGATGAAAATCTGTCCAGTATAATTCCGTTGTTTGGGTTTTTCCCCCTCGGCCCTACTGATGCCCTACCCTTCCCCCAAGGAATCGCTAATTGGCAGGCGATTAAAGTTGGGTTTCAATAGCAGCTTCTCTCAACTCCTGTGATTCCGTGTTGGGTCCCTGAACTTCATTCCCCACCCCGAGCTTTCCTTTTCTGTTACAACACACGGGGATGCTGCAAGTGCGTCCGCTTTAATGCCTCTCAAAATACTCGTATACTGCCGGTAAATATTTACCGAGAAACTCCCGGAAACGTTGGCCTGAAGATGAGCCTAAAGAGTTCCCACTGCTTCTCCTTGCGTTTTTAATTTCCTTTAGAGTTTGCGGTTGGTGCTATTGACGGTCGGAACTTTTCTTGTCCTGGGAAGCAGAGGCAGCTATGAATACAGACGCGCAGAAAAGTTAGTGCGTGCAGTCTGGTGCTTTCAGTTAAGCAAGCAAATTCAGGTCAGCAGAGCGAGAGGAGCTTTGCAGATTGCGGTTGGATTTTAGACACCCTTTGATTCAGCATAAAGAGGCGAAGTCAGCGCGTCCTCATGTGCACCCTGCCCGTCGCCGACCCCGGGAGAACAAACGCCTTCCCGATGCCAGCCTGGACCGGGACGCTGGACCTTCTGAAGCCGTCAGTCAGCAGGCTTAATGTACCCGCGTCCCGGCACGAAAAGCTTCAGTGGCTTGAACTTCCAATAATTTATTTCTAAATTACTTCTCCTGTAATTCTTATTAATTCAAATAGGCTTCTAAGCTGATGTAAAATTCAGTAAATGCAAGGAACAGTTTAATGAATTGAAAATAGGATTGAGTCTTTTAAAGTAAATGTAAAAAAATATGCTAGCAATAATTGCTTAGATGGAAATCGAATCTTAATAGCTTTGTTAATGATTTGTAGTGAATATTGCGTTTATGAGAACATATCATCAAGCTGATCCTTGTGCAAGAACCTTGTTCTGAATGGGTTTGATAAAATTATTCCCCAGAAGCAGTTAGTAACGTTTAATATTTTCGCCTGTGCTGCTTTTGAGCTAGTTGAACGGCGTTTCCGCTGGAGCCCGCCTGTGGCTGTTGAGGGCGGGTGCTGTGCCGGTAGCGTGGGGGATGCTCGTCCTCTGATCCCAGGGACCTGAGCACGGTCACCTCGCAGAGAGCGGAGTAGATGTGCGTGATGGGCTCTTTGCACCTCTCGCGGTTGTCCTGGGGGGGGACTTTTCTTGGCTACGGGCGCTACTCCGCTTCATAGCGACTTTCCACGTTGCTGGTTAAAGTTCATCGATCTGGAGAAAGGAAATTTCTACCAAGAGGGCAGGAAGACGTGCCCAGGCGTCAGCTCGGCACCGTCAGGCGTGGAAAGGTGTCTGACAATTTATCGGTCTCTTTCTTTCCAAGCAATGTGGACTTTTTCTCAGACGTTTATTTCCAAGGCGGGTCAAACGATGAGTGCAAGTCGGAAGGAAGGAAAGGAAGAAAAATGGAGAGAGTGCGGGACGAGAGAAAAGCCAGAGCATAAATAACATCCCCAGATTTACTGTTTGCAAACTTCATCAGAATCTTGCTTTTTTGTGTTTTTTTGCGGCCAGCTGGGGAGCTGGACTATCCCCTGCCAGTCTCTGCCCCGTTGATCAGCCGAGTGGTTCTCCTTGGCCAGGTGCCCGTCTGCCTCCGCTTCGTTTGGCAAATTGGCAATCAAAGCTTCAATATTTCTCCCACGTTGCTTTGCCTCCTCGTCCGTAACGCCCGCCTGGTCCGAAAGCAGACACGAGTCGTTACCGAAAGGGACCGCAATTAGCGTTCCCCCGGGTGCCATACCCCAATCCGGCCTTGGCTCCGCGGTCCTCCGGCTCGCTTTCCAATCTTGATGAGATTCCTGGTAGTTACAGAAAAACCGAAATGCAAAGTGCACTTTTTATTTCTCTTCGTATTCCCGTCCTCTGCATTCTTGAAGGCGTGAAGCAAATTTCTCCGCGTGCATGTGAGGCAACGATTCGATTCATTAGGAGGAGAGTTTTCGAGGTGATGACCTGTAAATGATTACAAGGCTCCTACGGCATAATTGCATCGAATTCTTCTTTTCCCACTTCTGGACGTTAATAGCGCCTGCTGATTACACAGAGTGAGTAAAAACTGGTTCCCTAAAGTCTGTCTGCTCAAGTCAAAGGATAAATGCTTCTCACAGCGAATCCTTCATGCTCTGAAATCCAGCCGGGAGAACGGGATGGGATAAAACGGCTGCTTTGCAATGACAAGCCTGCTCCGTGCTGGGGGCCGTGCGGCGGTCATTGGACAAAGAGTAGTCCTCGTTCCTCTGTTCCCGTGGTCGTGCTCCCTCCCGATGGCTCCTCTTTA